TGGACACGCAGGTGAGTGGAACCGCCCGGCATGCTGTCTTGTGCCTGGGTCTTTGGCTTAGCATGTGCCTCGGGGCTCGTGCGGTCCTAGCGTGTGCCAGCACTTCACTCCTGATAACTGCTAAATAGTGTGCCCTGTGGGTGCGTGCCATTTTGCTCGATAGCTGATGAGTATCGAGTTCTCATTTGGAGCTATTAATTAGGAACAGTGCTGTTAGGAACCTTGGGAGCTCATTTTTCTGTGGACATGTTTTTATTCTTTGAAAAGTGGCGCTGCTGGCTGAGTGATTTACCTCCGTGGTAAACTTCCCAGGAACTGCCAGATTGGTTTTCAGAGGGACTTGGACATTTGTACTCCCACAGCTGTGTGTGAGCTTCCCTGTCCTCCTACAGCCTGACTTGCTCTCGCTGGCCTTGCAAGTCACCATGTCCTGGTGGGCGCGGCGTGGGCGTGCTCCTGGTTGTATTGTATTCCCAGTGACGTCATCTTTCTGCTTATGGGCCATTTGTAGATCTTCTGTGAAGAAATGTCTGGTCGACCCTTTGATCATGTTTGATGGTGGGGCCCTGAAATGACCGGGTTCTTCACTTATTCTGGATACAAACCCTTTATCAAGCACATACTTTGCAAATTGTTGTTTCCCATCTGGTAGATTTTCTTTTGACGTTCTTGATATTGTCCTTGAAGTGCAGAAGTTGTTAATGTTGACGATTTTTAATGTATTGATTTTTCTTGTGCTGCTTGTGCTGTAAGTGTGAGATCACAAGTTATTCGTTCTGCATTCCCACAGTTTGTCAGCATGTCTTTTTTGAGACGGATGTTCCTGTATCCCTCATTCCTCTCTCACTACCAGCACCGTGTGAGGGTCCCAGGCTCTTCACGTTGCCGACACTTGTTATCGTCCGTCTGTCTTGTAGCCATTGTAGTGAATGTGAAGTGGCATCTCGCTGTCACTTTGATTTAAATTTTCCTAATAACTAATGATATTGAACATTTCCCTATGCTTATAGGCCATTTATTTATCTTTTTTGAGAAATGTCTTTTACTCAATTTTTTTTTTCCTTCTAGTGGCTTTAAGAACAGCCACCAGAAGCCACTGATCTGATCATTCCCAACTCATTGCAGCTGGAGCACCACCCAGCCGCCTCCTGTGTGAGGATTTTATTATTTTTTCACATCTTGGCTGATTAAAAGTTTTTTTTATTTTTATTCTAATTTGTTATATATGACAGCAGAGTGCATTACAATTCATAGCACACACACACAGCACGTTTCTTCATGTCTCTGGTTGTGCACAAAGTACAGTCGCCCATTGTGTCTTCATATGTGTCCTAGGGGAGCGGTGTCCACCTCATTCCACGTCTTTCTTACACCCCTTGCTCCTCCCTTCTCTTCCCTCCCCTCTGCCGTCTTCTCCTTTACCCATTTGAAATCTGTCTTTTCTTACTAAAGTTAATAGTTTTTAATGTGTGATGTGTGGAACAAATATATGGTTTGCAAGAATCTACTCCTACTTTGTGGGTTACCTTTTCATTTTTTTGATGTTGTCTTTTGAAACACAAAAGTTTTTCATTTAGAAGTCTAGTTTATCTGATTTTTTTTTTGGGGGGGGGGGTTACACTTTTGGTGTTATCTCCCCAGACCATCACCTAATCCAAATTCACAGACTCACACCTGTGTGTTTTTTTTTTTTTTGAGAGTTTTGTAGTTTGACTTTTACATTTCGATCTTTGATATGTTTTGATATTTTATAGGAGTCCCAAGTTCATCCTCCCACATTTAGATGTCCAGTTGTCTCATCACCAGTGGTTGAAAAAGACTATTTTGCCCATTTGTAACGAAACATAGTAGATTACAAAGCCAGGGGATAAACAAGTAGAGAAAGGTTTCTCACTTGGAGCAAGTACGGAGGGCACTAGAGAACTCTCAAAGCAGCACGTCCCTAGCAAAGAAAGCCAAGGGGCTGCTTTTGTTTTGGTACCAGGATTGAACCCAGGGGCACTTAACCCAGCCCCCTTCTGTATTTTATTAGAGACAGGGCCTCACTAAGTTGTTGAGGGCCTCACTAAGTTGCTGAGGCTGGCTTTGAACTCTTGATCCTCCTGCCTCAGCCTCCTGAGCCACTGGGATGACAGGCATGTGCCACTGCCCCCCGCTAGCAGGGGGCTTTTATTAGGAAGTCTCAGACCTGTTCACTATAGGAAAGTCTTGTCATCGCATGTCACACATAGGGGTGGCGCATTGTCCTGAGCATGCTCAGTTCAAGGTCGTGCTTCCTCATACATTCCATGTTCTAAGAATGGCTAAAGACCGCCTCCTGGGTGGGAAAGTTAGTATCTTAATGAGCGAAGTTGACTCTGTGTCATCTAAAAAGGGTGCGCCAGTAAGCCTGAGTGGTCTTGGCTGGTTCCTGGTTCTGGAGTGCCCCATCTAAAACAAAGTACTTAGAAGGTATATTAATAGAGGAACCCGACCCCCCACCCACACCACCACCAAACACACACACACACACACACACACAGCCACACACACTCCTGTGGTGGTTGTTAGAAGTACCTGCCTGGTGGCTAACATGATGAATTGTCTTGGCACCTTTATCAAGAGCCAGTTGAGCCAGGCGCACACTTATAATCCCAGCAACTCAAGAGGCAAAGCGCAAGGATGACAGCCTCAGCAACTAGACTCTGTCTGGGAATGACAGAGGACTGGAGATGTGGCAGAGTGCCCTTGGGTTAAATCCCCAGTGCCGCTCCCCACTAAATTACTTGAACGTGTAAAAGTTTTTTTCTGAGTTCTGTGTTCTTTTCCATTTGTCTTTGTCTTCATGCAAAGACTAGGGTTTTTTGTTTTTGGTTTTTGTTTTTTAGGTGTAAATTGATAATTGATAAGTTGATGTGTTGGGGGTACAAGGTGATAGATCTGTGAGTCCAGTGTGGAATCATTAACATGCTCATCATTTCAAGGGCTTAGTTTTTATTGTGAGACTTCCGGAAAAAGGCTGAAGAGTGTCAACGTGGTATTCACGCACCACAATGTCTTCATGTCTTGAACTGTCGATGGCCATCCTAACTTGGCTCTTATAGATAACGGTACACTGAGCATGCAAGTGCAGATGTGCCTTCCACCAGCTGGTTTCAAATCTTTGGATTAAATACCCCAAAACAGAATTTCTGGATCCCACGTGGTTTTGGTCACTGTAGGTTTTGTATTACGTTTTGAAATGAAGTCGTCGGAGTCTTCTAGCTTTGCTCCCTGCCTGCCCACAACTCTCTTGGCCATTCTGGGCTCCTTGTATTTGGAAATTGTATCAATTTTATGATCAGCTGATCAATTGATGCAGAACACGTGGAGGGTGAGCCTGGTGGCCCTTACTTGTGATCCCAGCTCCTCGGGAGGCTGAGGCAGAGTTCAAGGCCAGCCGGGAAGGTTAGCAAGACCTGTGTCAAAATGAAAAATCAGAAGAGCCAGGGACGTGGCCGCACTGAGGTAGAGCACTTTCCTAGCATCCGTGAGCTCTGGGCAGTGCGCGGTACCAAAAATAAATAAATAAATAAAAGAGCATCCAGAATTTTGGTAGAGATTTCACTAAATGGGAAAGTCAGTGTGGGGAGTATGGCCACCTTAACAGTGTCTAATCTAATCCATGAGCACAAAGTTCTTTCCATTTATTTCCGTGGTCTCTAATTTCCTTCAGTGATGGATTATAATTTTCAGGGTACAGATCTTACAGTTGGCCTTGTTCCGTGTCTTCCTAAGTGTCTCATTCTTCTCTAGTCAGTGAGATTGTTACCTAATGTCATTTTTCAGATCGTTCATCACTAATGTGACAGTTAGCTGGATGCCTGTCTTGTACCCTGCGACCTTGCGGCTCATTTACCAGTTCTGAGTTGGTGGTGGTGGTGGTGGTTGATTCTGTGAGGTTTCCTGTATATAAGGCCATTTAATCTGCAGACAGAGATGGTCTCCCTCATCTTCCTCCCAATCTAGATGCCGTGTGCCCTGCCCTCCGTCTCCCGCCCTCCCTGCTTGACCTCTGGCCCCCCCAGTCCAGGGCTGTCTGCAGGTGGGGAATGGGCCTCCTGTGGCCTTCCTCGTCTTAACGGGGAAAGTTTTCTTTTTTCTTTGTTTTTTGGTAGGTGCCTGTTACCAAGATGAGAACTGTCTTTCTATTGCTGGATTTTGTCATAATGCCTTTCCTGTCAGTTGACATGATCATATGTGGCTTTTGTCCTTTATTGTTTTAATATCGTGTATCAAACTGTTTGATTTTCATACGTTGAACTAGCTTCGAGTTCTTTGGAAGAAGCCCATTTCTCCTGGTGTGTCATCCTTCATGTGCTACTGGATTTGGTTTGCTTTTTATATGTAATTTATCTATATTTTAGTGATGGGTGGACACAATACCTGTATTTTTATGTGGTGCTGAGGATCCAACCCAGGGCCTCACGCCTGCTAGGTGAGCACTCCAGCCCTGAGCCCAGCCCACCCTGGTTTGCTTTCTTTTGTTGAGGGTTTTTTTACATTAATATTCATAAGGAATATTGGTCTGTGGTTTTTTGGGTCTTTTTTCTTTCATTCTTGTTGTATCTTTGTGGGTTTTGGTATCGGGTAGTATTGGCCTCGCAGAATGAATTGGGAAACAAATGTTCTCTGCCGTGTTCTGGAATTCTGTGAAGGTACTGCTTCATGATCTACCTTCAGCCAAGGAGGATGTCTCCCCACTTCAGGTACCAGGTGGCCACTGAGCACTTGGCCCCCAGCCTCTGGGCAGGTCCTGACCACATCCCACCTGGTGCTCCTGCTGGGCTTTTCCAGCCCCGTTCCACTGGTCCCAGGCACTGATCCTTCCAGTTCTGGGTCCCTCTGGCCCGTGGTCCCTGGCAGTGTTCTTAGGAGCCTTTCTCCAGAAACTGTCCCCTTACCCTTTCCCGGCTGGCTCGCAAGAGGCACGGTCCTTGGCCCCTGGGCGGCTCTCTGACCCCTTCTGATCTTGCCCACAGGTACCGCGTCCACAGACCCATCGGCCGGAATCTCCAGGGATGACCAGCCCCTCCCCGCGCATCCAGATCATCTCCACCGACTCCGCGGTAGCCTCACCTCAGCGCATTCAGGTACCAGGGTCCCTGCTGTCCCCCAGTCCTTCCAAACACAAAACTGCCTCCGCATTTCACAAAGAAGTCGCACCTCTAGGGCGTCAAGTACACTTCCACCTCATTGACTTGAAAGACAAAAGAAGAAAAGTTTCTGTTGATTGAACTGACCGCTGTGGTGCTGGGCAGTTGTAAACCCAGGGCCACCTCTGGCTGGGCAGGTGCTGTGCCACCGAGCTGCCCTCCAGCCCTGCTTACCTTATTTCTAAGAACTCTAACCTGTTATTTCAACTATTGTGATAAAGAAGCATTTTGTTACTCGTTTGCTTCCAAATTGATGGGCGACATGTTGGTCCCAGGCTGGCGGCTTGTCTGGGTCCCACTTGTCGCTGTTGCTGTCTTGGGCAGGTACATGTCAGAGACTCAGGTTGTCCACTTGCAGCACGTGCATAGTATGCCCACCTCATAGGCCAGTGTAAGGAATCAACGGGACGCTGCTTAGGAAGTGCCGAGAAGGGCCTGGCCCGGGACAGTGTCCAGTGTGTTGTACCTCTGTGTCATCCCTGTTACTACTGGTGTCATTGACCGCTGGTCACTTATGCAGGGGTGGTGCTGGGCCTGCCTCTGGCCCACTGCACATGTTTATTTTCTCAGAAGGTAGGTATGTAGGCCCTAGCTGGGGGAAAGGGGCAACAGCCCCTGACAGATAAAGATGCAGTGTTCTCACATCAGCCGAAGCAAAAGGCCAGATCCAGACGTGAGAACAGAGATGGACAGCAGGAAGAACATGAGTTGCACAGCATGAACGTGAGAGACGCCAGGTGAGGGGTATTTGGGAATCGGGGATTGCTGTCCTAGGGAGTGGAAGCTCAGCCAGGCAGACGGTGATACAGAGCGACTGGGGAAATTCTACATCTGCCTGCTCCTAAGACACTTCATGGACTCTTCCCGTTATAAACTACAAGCGTTTCTAAGAAGTAAGATGAAGCGAGTTGTTGAGTGCCGTTGTCTGTGCCGTGATGTCCTCACACACAGAAGCCTGGCACTTGAACTTGGAAACACAGGTCTGCAAGTTGGAAGGACCCTGACGGGGTGTGACTCTTTGCCCAGGTCAGGGGCTGACGGAGCCGTGGCGCTCGCCCTTTACTCTGTTCTTATTTGCTGCTGCTGATAGTCGCTCCTGCGTGGGGGGTGTTGGGGTCTCACTGCAGGACTCTCCTGAGCCCGACACGGAAGCTTGCTCTGCGCAGCTCACAGTCACATTGTCAAATGGCAACTGTTTTCAGAGGGCGGGAAGCAGATAAGGGTGCAGAGAAGGACGGGTGGCCACCCCAGGAGACCGGGTGTGTAGGTCTGTGTGCAGAGCGCAGCTCCCTCTGTATTATCTAAGGAGAACTTCCTGTTTTCCTAAGATGGGACGCTGGCACCACCCTTATCTGTAGAGTGAGGCTCTTCCCTGCTGGCGCCCAGCCTCTGGGGACGCCACCTTCCTGCTGGATGCAGTCCTGTCCTCTCAACAAAAGTCTTGGGGGAGAGATCTTTGGTGCTGAGCTTGCAGTTTGTAAGGAGGACAGTCCTTTGGTGCGAGTTTTATGTTTACTAAATAATTGACAGTGTCCCATTGGAAGCCGCCAGTGAAGTCGGACGTGCTGAGTGCCACCACACTGGCTAGGTGAGGTTTTCCAAGTAAAATAGAGGTTATTGCCTGGTTTCTGGATTTTTAAAATCAGTGCTGGGGGTCCCATGCGGTTCTCTCTCTCAGCTTGTGCCTTGGTGACCAACTGGCATTCCCTCAGGCCTGGGGAGAGGAGGGACGACTTCTCTGATGTTGTCATGAGTAACAATTCCTAGACTGCAAATGGTGGCTTCTCTCACAAGGTGGGTGGGGAAGGATTTTTTGGTTTTTGTTTTTTAAAAGGACAGCAGGCTGGATAACAGGTCAGAGCCGTGTCTGAGTGTACAGAGACCGAGGGTCGAGTCGCCTCTATCCCCAGCCGTGCGACTCGGGGGAGTGAGTTGACAGAGCTGCGCTGAGAGTGCTGATTCTATAAGTTGGGAAGGGACTAGGGGACATAAGTAGGCGACGTAAGGCCGTCAGAGCCCCAGGAAGCCAGCGCAGTGTGGATTTTTATGGTTTATTTGTACATAATTTCAAACTTCCCAAAAATAGTCCATTCAAATTCACTGTGCCTGTCACTCAGGTTTGTGAGTTATGTGCTGTCACATTCTAAATATGAGTGTATTCATTTTTTTCTGGTTCATTTGAGAACAGACTGGGGACATGACTCCTGTGCATTGGATCTAAGGACAGTGACATTCTTACCTCATGAAAATACAGTTAGCAAAATGAGAAAATACTAACACTGAAATGGGCCATTATCTGATCCAAACTCCAAATTCCCACATTTCATTCACTGTCCCAGTAAAGGCCCGTGGAGCTATTTTTCCAAGGATCGATGTTATATTTTTAATAGAGATAAAAGTAATAAAGATGTCATCAGCCCAAGGTCCACAGCGCTTAGTTATGCAGGATAAAAGAGGGTGGGGTGCGTGTGGCAGAGCCTGTGTCCGTTCGTGCCACGTCCCTGTGGCGGCTCAGAAGGCCCTGAGGAAGTGGGTGCAGCGCCAGCCCTCAGGGTGGAGGGCAGGTGTGCAGTTGGGGTGCTGTTGTTTCTGGGGACACAGAGGTGTAGGGCAGAAGCCATGGGAGGACATGGAGGACACAGCACACATCAGGTTCCAGTTTTATTTATTTATTCATGTTCTGGAAGCCAGTAAAGTGAGTTGAAGGACAGTGTGTGATACAGTGAATTCCACATGCTGGACATGATCGGTGCTCTCCCTTCTGCTGACCTGTTCCGCCTGGGTGGACGCTGTGCAGCCCTTCCTGCCCTCTCTGTGGGCTCGAAGATTTTCCTAAAAATTTAAAAGGACAGAGGATGGAGCTCAGTAGCAGAGGGAGAGCACCCTTGGGTCCGAAGTCTAGCACCCCAGAAAGAGAGAGGCAGGACAGTCACATGCCTCACCCCAGTGACTCAGAGGCTGGAGCAGAACATTCACAAGTCTGAGGCCAGGCTCGGCAACTCAGTGAGAGCCTTTCTCAAAAAGTTACAAAAGGTCTGCGCCCAGCTCAGTGGTGACGCACTCTGGGCTCAGTCCTGGGGAGGGACAGTGGCGTCTGGCATCTTCGCACTCCAGGGTGAGGCCTCGTGGCTGTCCCACCAGCCCAGGTGACAGCACTGTTACTTCACGCTGTGCTCTTGGTCAGCGGCCCCGTGTCCCTCCCTCCTGCTGTCCCCAGCCCTGGTGCTGTGTGCTGCGCATCCTGCTTGGAGCTGCTTGCTCTGTGCCCTCAGTCCCCAGCCACGTGCTGGTTCCTCTCTCGAGAGTTCAGAGGAGTTGTTGCTCGTGTGTGTTGGAAGGGTGACAGGGACGCGTGTAACAAAGTCACACTAAACGGGGCACAGAGTGAAACAGGAGTGTCCCCTGCCTTCTTGGGGTTGCCCAGCTCTGGGTGGTGGGGGGCAGCTGCTGTTGCCATATTACCTTTCATTCCTTCAGCGTTGGTCTCGTCATGTAAGTCCTCAGGGACACGTGTGAGTGCATAGATCGTGTTTTGACACGAGTGTCAACACTGTGTGACGTCGTTTTGCTCCTCGGTCTTTTTCTTAAGTGTGGCTCGTCCTTGGAGACGGTTCTGTATGGTGCAAGCTACACATTGTGTTTCTCTTGAGTGGCTGCTTGATATCCCATTTTGCCACACCGCCCCCAAAGAGGGTGTCCCAGTTTGTACTCCCACCAAACCAGTGGGCACCACGCCGTGCTTTTTAGTCAGTTTGCCAGATGAAATAATGTCACTGCTGTACAGATTTTGCACTTTGCTATTTACTCACATGTATATACATGTGCATGTGTGTGTGTGTGTGTGTGTGTGTGTACGTATGTAAACATAAAGCTTCCCGGGTGTGGTGTTGTATACCTGTAAGCCCAGCAGTTTGGGAGACTGAGGCAGAAGGATCACAAGTTCGAGGCCAGCCCCCACAATTTAGGAAGACCCTATCTCAAAATAAAAAATAACAGAAGGCAGGGCCAAGGATCAACCTCAGTGATGAAGCTCCCTGGGTTTGATTAAAAAGAACAAGAAAAACAAATTGTTAGTTTTTGAGTGACTAGGATGCTACTTAGGTTTCATGTCCCACCTTTCCACTGTCCCACCCGCTGACTGTCCATGCAGTAGACTTTCTGTGCGACTTTGATTCCGTCACTATTAAGTGCAGTTTATGAACCAAGGGGTAAATGCGTATTTAAAGCAAGGGGTCTCTCTAGAACCACCCTCTGACATGAGCCCGCCGGCCAGGCGCCTGCTTTAGGAGGAAGAGAAACCAGGTGGGTATCAGAAAACGCGCAGGGGCCACGTCTAAAAAAGGAAGGGGCTGGGGCTGCCTAGCACTCGTCTCGCATGTGTGAGGCCCTGGGTTCCATCCTCCACCGCATCAAAATAAATAAAAAGGCACTGTGTGCACCTGCTGCTAAAAAATACATATACACACACACACACACTTTAAAAAAGGAAATGATCGTGGCCTGGCTCTCACGGCCCTCTTCTTCTGTGTGGCTGTGAAGTGTTGGAGTGTCCCTGTCCTCTGGCTTTCTTCCCGTGGAGCCCCGGGCTTGACCTGTCATTATCCACCAGTGACCTCCAAAAGAAGTGTCTGGCCAGACCTCTGCCGTGTGCTCTGTGTAGTTCAAGATACTTTAAAGTTTCTCTTGAGACTTCTTCTTTGATCCGTGTTTTGTTCAGGAGGGTGGTGTTTGCATTTCTATCCGGGTGACCTTCTTGTTTCCTGAGTTGATTTCTGACGCTGACTCCGTTGAGGTCTGAGGACATGCTCTGTATGGTGTCTGTCAAACTCTGTCTCGTGTCACAGTGTGGCCTCTGTCCACGGTGCTCCATTGGCGGAGTCCTGAGGAGAGTGGTGCTGTTAGGTCCTGTCGAGTTGACAGTGCTCTTGGTCAAGTGT